TCTCTGCAGCAGTGCCCAGGAGCAGGGCAGCCCACAGGGGTGGGGACCAGCTCTGGGCAGAGGTGTCTCTCTGACATGGGATGGCATCCTCAGGCAGTGATGCCACACGTTCATTTTTCGGGGGATTTCTCTGCTTTGGGGCATTATTGCCTCCACGCTTGTCCTCTGTCACCCCAAGAGCACTTTTAATTTTATTTTTCCATGCCTTCATTTTTTTCATGAAGAACCACCTACATTTTTCTCTTAGAAGGTAAATACTTGAGAAGCGAAACGGCTCTTCCTGTGCCCGTAAACGGTGCAAAGCTCAGCCATTTCCCCACAGAGCTGAACTTAAAAACAATAAGCCTTGCTGCTGAAAGCCAGCAGCAGCAGCAGTGGGACCCGGTGCTGAGCATCTGCAGCTCTTCTAGGGATCATGAGGCTCTCATACCAACAGAGCACCAGGCCACATCCCAGATCTGCAACCATCAGTTCGTCGAGGCTTCTAAAATTATTGAAGTTATTTCCCTGTATTTGTCCTTCCTTGTTGCTATTTGCATGCAGCTTTCTCTGGGAGTATGGATACTCCCCTCCACAGGCAATGCAGGATGAGGAATAACTGCATCAGTGTAGGCTGGGGGCTGCTGGAGAAGGACCTGGGTGTCCTGGTACCCAATGATTGACCAGCAGTTCACCAATGGTTGACCAACAGTTGACCATGAGTGAACAGTGTGCCCTTGTGGCCAAGAAGGCCAATGGTGCCCTGGGATGCATGGCGTAGAGCATGGCCAGCAAGGGAGCGGGGGGGTCTGCACAGGTTGGCACATCTGGAGCACGGGGCTCCCTAGCTGCAGGCAGGTGGGGAACTGCTGGAGAGAGTCCAGAGACTCTGAGGTGAGGGTTGGACTGGAGGGATGTGCAGATGGCCCTTCCTGCCCCTGTGGTTCTGTGACTCTGTGATGCTGCGTGTGCCATGAGATGGGGACAGGATTGGGGCAGTCCCCGCGGGCGCCAACCCCCATGGGGCGACGTGGCCCTGCTGACACCAAAGCTGCCGGGGTGAGGGCAGTGCTGACGTGGGTGTCTTTAACTTTCCCTTCTTCCTTTCTGTTGTGGCAGTGGTGACTGCAGCAAAAGTGAGAAAAGAGAAAAAAAAAACCAGCGCTGTGAGGAGAAATGAGCAGATGCTGCTGGCCCCAGCGCTTGCAGAACAGGGTCTCATTGCAAAGTCTGCCCCCCGATGGAGGCTGGGTTAGGTTTATTCACATTGCCCCAAACCGGGAGGTTTGCTCAGGATGCAGAGGTGTCCTGAAGCTGTGCAGAGCTCTCCAGGTCCCATACCTGAAAGCCCCGAAACACAGCCCTCAGCCCCACATCAGTGGTCCCACCCTGCAGGATGATCCCAGCCCCGTTTGCTGATTTGAGCAGATGTTTGGATACGGGGCAGAGGGCAGAGCAGTGCTGGCTCGCTGCAGCCTGACCTGCTGCCTCTGGCTCTGCGGCACAGTGACTAATTCTGCAGAGAAAAGGAATTAATTCCTCATTGAATCAGCAGCAGCGAACTCCACTCCGTAGGTTTTGTTTTGCATAGCCAAGGCGTAGACTCATCTCTCTCTCTGAGAAGTGACGTCGAAGCCAAGACACAGGGCTGCTCCCGGCTGCAACCCGCAGCACTGCTCCCCCCATTGCTTTGCTGGGAGCGGTTTCTTGGTGCTGATGCACATAGCCGGGGATGCCCAGACCCCAGTGCACCCCAAGCACCAGGCCCTGGCCAGGCCCCACACTGCACAGCTTTGTCATTTCTCTCTTTTTGGGGCCAGCAGTGTGGGACTGTTTGAAAGTGCTGTGAGTGATCTGGCCCCGCTGTGGCTCCGCTCCCCCCCCGGTGCTGCAAACCACAGCGCTCCGCGTGCTGCACTGCAGGGTCGGGTCCTGTGCACCCCTGGGTGCTGCCAGCCGGGTGAGCAGGGGCACTGTGGGGGGTCAGCCCCCTCCTGCAGCTCCCAAAGTGTATGTGGTCCCCAATATGAATAGGGTCCACTGTGTACCTGTGTGCATAGAGCACCTTGTGCTTTTGCGGCCCCTGCATCAGTGTTGTCCCCCAGTGTTCACAGCGTCCTCTCCATGCACTGGGTCTATTAAGAGCACATCTTCCCCACTGCACATGGAGTCCACGGTGTCTCCCTTGTGTTTCAGGTCCCCTTTGTGTAAGGGTCCCCCATGCCTGTGAGGTTCCCTATATTCCCAATGGGAGGGGCCGTTCCTAGGAAGGATGCTTTGTGCCTTTGTGCAGCAGCGCCGATCAAGATGGGCCTTGTGAGATGAGCTCCTGTGTTTGGTCTGTGTGATCTGCTCCTCTTTAACACGCTCACTCCGAGCGCTGTCTGCTCTTTTCTCTCTTTCTATTTTAACAAACGATGGGAAGGGAGCAGTGGGGACACCTCTGTGCAGTGCAGTGCCAGACTGAGACCTGGCTGCTCAGTGGGCGACCACCAAAGTCCATCCAGAGCTCTTCATTCCTTTGGCACCACATGGTGGGAGATCACCGGGTTGTGCTGCTTTGGTTTAGTTCTGATTTGTCTTCTACCCAAAAATTAACCCAAAATCTTGCCCAGTGCCAGCCCTGAGGCAGCAGATGCTGGGATGCTTACAGCTGTAGCAAGGTGTGCTTTACCCAGCTTCACCAAAAATTCACTTCTTTTCTTCTCCTAAACTAACCCAAGCAGAAAACCATCTGTGTATTTTTTCTAATATTTTCACAGCTAAAACCAATATTCTTTGTATTATAGCCCATGAAAATTCTCAGTATTGGCCATTTCCCACTAATTCTGGGTTTTAATCATAGAACCATAGAATCATGGCTTGGTTTGGGTTGGAAGAGCCCTCCAAAGGCCACCTGGTCTCTCTGCCCACTATGAGCAATGAGCACCCACAGCAATGAGCCCCCCAGTCTGACCTGGGCTGTCAGCAGGGATGGGGACCACCGCCTCTCCGGGCAGCCTGTGCCTCACTGCCCTTATGTAACAAACATATTCCTTATATCCAGTCTAAATCTTCCCTTTCCTAGTCTGAAACCATTTCCTATTTGATCTCTGCTGCATTTTTCTGGCATTAGCTCCAAACTTTAAATTCTTGCAAGGCAGCAAAGTGTTCATTCCTGTGTGCTGTGGTGAAACATCTCCATCTTAAACAATGAGTCAAAACACCTGCTGCCATGAGGTGCTTTCCAGAAAACTTCTGGTTACAACAAATCACCGTTTGTCTAATGAAAAAGCTTCATTTTATTAAAAAAAAAAGATGAATTCTGAATAGTTCTGCTCAGCCAGAAGCGAGTTCTTCCACTCACCTCGAGCCTCCATCACAATCAGATATCTGCATGTGAGCAGTGAGGTCTCCTCATTTTGCCTTGCCAGCAATTAGTCCCTCTTAACAATTAGCACGGCTGCGTTGTCTGCTTGCTCATCAGATACTGAAGCCACTTTTCTGCTGCAAAGTGGGAGCTGCCTCTTCACGGCCCTTCCTCTTTGCATTCAGTGAGTCCCACCAGGGCGATGGGCAGCAGCTCCATGCCTGCACAGTGCTGGGTAATGTGAGGAGCCTGGGCACCTCAGGGACTTGCTGGTACCTTGGGTACCTGGTGGTACCACAGTGACCTGGTGGCACTGCAGGACCAGGTGGCTTGTGCTGGGAGGGGCACAGTCACTGCTGTATCCCAGCACATGCAGGCAACGTGCACCTGGTTCACATCAGGAGTTGGGGTTCTCACGCACTCTTAAATACCTCCAAACCTGCAGCTCTTGATTTTTATTTGCACGAGCAAAGCCAGGTGGAGGATGGCATCCCCAACCCGCCCCGTCCTTCCCATTGCAGGGTTCCTCCTGGTGCCAGCAGGGCTGCACGCTGCTCTGTGTGAGCAAAATCATGACCCAAGTGAAAGGCAGCAGTGAATCAACCCAAAGGTCTGAGATGAGCTGTCAGAAAGCAGGAGTGGTGCTCTGGAGGTGCCCCAATGGGACAAGAGCTGAGCTGAACGGCTGCCAGCCTCCTCTCATCTCCTCCCAGTGCAGTGCTGCCATTCCTGGTTCTCCTTCTGGAGTTATCTGGGACAAATGGTATTTGTTGTGCTACCAGGGTGAAGACAGTCTGGGTTTAAAGGCACTCCTGGGCAAAATGGGGCATGCAGGGAGCAGTGTGGGGTGCTGCAGGTGAGACAGCTGTGTGCACATGTGTGCATGGCTGTGTGCGGGGGTGTGCGTACAGCTGTGTGCACACGTGTGTGCATGGATAGGGGTGTGCATGGGTGTGTGCGTGGATTTGTGCCTGGATGTGTGCGTGGATAGGTGTGCCCATGGGTGTGTGCATAGATAGGTTAGTGTGTGAGTGTGTGCACAGGATTTGTGCAGGATTTGCACACAGTTGTGTGCATAGGTGTGGGCATGGATTTGTGCATGGGTACGTGCGTGGATGTGTGCACTGATAAGTGCATGTGTGTGCACAGGTGTGTGTGCATGTGTGTGCACACTGCTCACAGCTGTGCAGCCCTTCGGGCCGGGTCACTGCTGTGTCACACAGTGGTACCACATTGTGCAGCAGGGGCTGCTGGCCCCCCTGGCCCTGTCCTGCTAGCAGGAGCAGCTGCAAAGGCCTGAGCAGTTTTCAGAGTGAATGTGCAGGATGTGAAAGTCCAGCTTCAGACCAAAGCAACACATGGGACTGTGGTGGGGGGGAGAGGGGGAGAGGGCAGAAAACTGGAGCAGTGCATTAGGTGACACGCTGTTAGCATTCGTCCAGGGATAAATGATACTGGAGATGGATTAGAAAAAAGTGACAATTCTAGATCTTGACAGCTTCGTGTTATTTGGGCTGATCTGCAATCTCCATCAGCTGTTGCTGCTGCTTAATTCGGGTCTTCTCTTGCAGGATGTGTCTGAGTAAAGAAGGGCAGTGGCTGCCCTGGGATTGCTGCAGCCCTCCTTCCAGCAGCACAGCCCAAAGCCTCACCCCCTCCTTCTCTTTTGCAGTCCAACAAAGTTCCTGTCGTGCAGCCGTCCCATGGAGTGCACCCGCTCACGCCGCTCATCCCCTACAGCAACGACCACTTCAGCCACGGTTCCCACTCACCCCATCTGCCCGCTGACATCAGCCAGAAGCAAGGTAACCCAAATTGCTCATCAGTGGGTTCGGAGCACCGGGCACTGCTCGAGGTAGGGCTCATGGAGCTCCATCTGGGGCTGACACTGCAGCAGGACGGCCACAGCGGCCGCACGAGCCGAAAGCCGGAGCGGAGCCCGCAGGGCGATGTGTGAGAGTCAACCAGAAAATGGAAAGTTGTCTTTCCTTTGACTCATACCCAAACTGCTGTCAGGTTGTCATTTTGAGAAAATAAATGCTTGAAACAGGAAATATTTTGACTAAATATGATCGGTGTCTGAGCGCTGGGTGGACCTGAGTGTGCGTGTCCGGCACGCGCCAACCCCCAGCGGGGCTGCAGAGGAAAGTACAGCACGGATAGGGCAGACCTGAGCTGTGCACTGGGGAGCTCGCCCCTCACCACTTCTTCTTCTGGGCTGCGGGCCCAGAGTGAAATCAAACCTTCCTCACCTCCTGCCAGAGCAGAATCCCTGCAAGTCTGTTTGAATCACTCAGATGTTTGCAGAGAGCTGGTCTGGGGTTCAGGTGGCAGTGAGGGCGTTCACAGCGCTGGGTCTGTGTATTCTAGGAGGGATGGGGGGCTCATCAGAGCCCACAGTGCTGCTGAGTCCAACACCTGAGTGTGATAAATACGGCAGGAAAGCACAAGGAGTTAACAGATCTATTGGCAATTTGCTCAGCAAATGGCAGATTTCAGCACCTGGAAAGGAAGCCTGCAGATTTCCAGGTTAGCAGAGGCAGAGATCCTACAGGTGGGAGAGGACCGGAGGTTTGGGCTTCGTTCCTCTCTGAGCTGTGTCCTAACCAAGTGCAGCTATGGGAAAATTCTCACACTAAGTCACATTTTCCCTTTGGCTCAGTTATATATCAAGTTCAGTTAGCACCTACTGAGATATTTGGAACCCAGTGATGTAATTCCTAAATACTTATTTATCATTAACTCTGTGAATATCCCAGATCTCTGGGTCTGTGCTTTGCTGCAGCTCTTCACCCATGCAGTAAATGCAGGGTGGTGTCCAAGCAGCTGCTGGGCAGCCCCAGCACGGGGTTGGTTTCAGCTGCTCCAGGCTGGAAAGATGAGACATGGGATTGGCCCCAGAGCAGGGCAGAGAGCAGCAAGACTGCAGAAAAATTAAACTGTGAAGTATCCCCGCTAGATATCAGAGCTAGCACTGATGCTGCTGGAGCATCCCCCAGTGGAAGGGCCTCAATGGAGCATCCCCGCTGGTTGCTTTCGGACTCCTGGGGCTGACTGATTGGCCGGGGGCTGTAGGAACAGCATTGCATTTCCATGTGCATTCCCCACTGCCCAGCAGTGCCCGCAGAGGAGCAGATGGGGCTGGGAGGGCTCATTGCAGTGCTGTCTCCATCTCACCTCCTTCTCCCTTCTCCCAGCAGTGCATCGGCCTTCCCAGACCTCCGACATCCCCGGCTTCTACCCACTCCCCCCGGCTGGGGTCGGCCAGATCACGCCCTCCATGGGATGGTGAGTGCAGGGATGCGCGGGGTCAGCTCTGAGAGCCCCCCTGTACCCCCTTCACGTGCTGAGCAATGGGGAGGGGGATTCACTCCGTGTGGGATGGGGGGCTGCGGTGTTGCAGGACGGCTGTGAGGTTGTGCTGTGGCTCTGTGTGCAACTGGGATGGTGCTGCCTCTGCCTGCATGAGGAGGTGGGCAGAGAGCGGGCGGCTTCCGTGCAGCTGGTGATGGAGGGTGCCATGGAGACGTCAGGTTGGGTGTTAGGAACAGTTTCTTCTTCAAAAAAGTGGTCAGACACTGGCACAGGCTGCCCGGGGAGTGGAGGTGTTCCAGAACTGTGGCACTTGGGGACAGCCAGTGGTGGTCAGTGGTATGGTGGGGTGGGGTTGGACTTGGGGATCTGAGAGATCTTTTCCAACCTGAATGATCCTATGGTTCTGGAGATGTCCAGGTGTGAAAGCATGTTTCCAAACGTGAAAACACAAAGTGAAATCTTTTTTTTTTTTCTGTTTGGTTAGTTTATGAATTTCATATTCCAGTTATTTAACCACAAGGAAACAGAGGCTGAGGCTTCTGATACAGAGTTCGGCTTCAAAGAGATGGCATTTTGCTTTCTGTGCTAAATGTGCTCCTCTTGGGTGATGACTTAACGCCTCGTACGATGTGATTCATCCTCAGGAGGAACAGGCACTGCTGTGAGTGTGCTGTACAAAGCATGCATGTGGCTGGAGTGAGGCAGGAGCAGAGTCTCCATGCAGAGCTGGGTGCTGAGGACATGGCAGCTGCAGCAGGAGCTGCTTGCTGGCAGCACACGCTGTGCCTGGCGCCTGCAGCAGGTGTGCTGGTGTTAGCTGATAGGGACAGGGAGCAGCAAAAGGCAGCCAGCCTGGTGAAGCAGCAGTGCATCCCAAAGTGTGCTGTCTAGAAGAGCTTTTCCCCTTACTCTTGCCTGCCCAAAATTCATGGAAGGAGCCCCAGAGCACTCAGAGCCAGGGCTGAGATGGGGACAGGAGGGAAGCACACACAGCCAGGGGCTTCTGTCCTGCCCTTCGCCCCCAGTGGGGACAAGAGCCTGGTGACAGTCTCCTGAGGACAGTGGGATGCGGGCAAGCTACTACATCCCATACATCCCACTCCATTTCCCAAGCACTGCTCCCACCACCAGGGCATCCTGTGCTGCGGCTGCAGCTCTGCAGGGCAGAAACCCTGCGAAGCCCCTCTACAGTGCATCAGGGCCATGATTACAACGCACCCCATGACACCAGGAAGCTCTGGGTTCTTCGGGCTGGAAGGAGCTGGTGCCATTTGTAGGGCAGTGCTGCATGCCACAGCAGAGCAACACCGGTGTGGCTGCACTTCGGGGTTCAGCGCTTTGGGGTTCAGCCATCCCGTCTCGCCCTCCCCAGGTGTCTGGGTTTCCACGTGTGGTTTTGGGCTGGGAGCATCTCCTGGCAGCCCGACAGAGCACACCGAGGTGTGTTGGAGCTATCTCCATATGAAAACATGGGGGCTTTCCCCTGCTGAGAGCAACCAGGAACTTCCTTCAGGTTTATTTGACTATCTTCAAAACAATTCCCAGCTCCAGGTCTGGTGCGTGCCCGATTCCCACTACGAAACAACTTTAAAAAGAAGCACAGGACCCGGCTTTGGGCTTGTTTGCAAACAGAGGCGAACTTCTGGGGGCAGTGCGGGGTGGAGGAGCTGCATCCCCTTGGGGCAAGGCAGAGAGGTGCTGAGCAGCCTTTGGCTTTTTGGCCAAACGGTGCTTTCTTATTTTTTAAGCAGTTTATTGTGTGCGATAGCAGTATTTCTTCTGCCCACCTCCGTGTTCAGCACTGCAACAGGATACAAGATAGTTTCTGAAAGAGGGGGGTGGAGGGGAGTCAGGTGTGGATCCAACCTCGACAGGGAGCTCCCTAAGCAAACCCCAAACCCCACAGTGCCCAGAGCAGCGCAGAGCGAGGGCACCGAGCCCCCACCGGGACCCCACTGCTCCGAGCCCCGCTAACAAAGGGGATCTTTAGGAAACAGCCACGCAGCTGTGGATACTTGATAGACTCTTTCTTCCCGATCCCAGGCAGAGCCAGTCTGTCTATCCGCTCCCGTCATGTGGATTTAGACAGCCGTATTCGTCAGCGCTTTCTGCTGGGGCTTCTTTCTCCAGGTGAGTATGTGGGGCCGGGAGCGGCTCGACGCCCGCAGCTTGCAGTGTGTGCGGGAGCAGCTTGCAGCCCAGCGAGTCAGGGCAGTGCCCAGATGCCCCCGGGAGCAGCGAGCGGCCAGGGAGGATGCTCAGCAACTGGGTTGTCATCAGCACAGGTCAAAAAAGCAAAGCCAGAGAGCCCTGCCTTCAGTGCAGCACTGGAAAAAGGGGTGAAACCCATCGCTCCTCGTCTCTGACCATGGTGTTGTGCGCACCGCCGAGTTTTGCTTTGCAGAGAGCAGTGCATTTTCCTTGATTTCAGCCTCAGAAGCAGGACAGGCAGCAGGCAGCTGCTGGCATCGCATCTAAACAAGTCTGAAGTCTGCAGCTGATACGCAGCCCATGCCTGCCCCGTGCTGCCCTGTTCCCACTCCAGTCCCATGCAGGGTTGGGGCTGCTTTGTGCTCCTGCAGCATCGCCAGCTCCAAGGAGCGAGCGCAGTCCTGCACTGTCTGCATCTCTGCTGCTCTGTTCTCCATAGTTTGTCTGCTTTGTGGTTACATGTACCCCAGCCCCACTGATGTCCCAGGGAGCAAAATGCATCTCATAACTGGGGATCTCAGAGCCTGGTACCTTGGGGTTTGCTGATGGGCAGGGCGATGGCATGCCCCTGCTCCGGGTGCTCCCGCACCAGCTTTGCTTCTGCTTCATGTTGTCCTGAAGTCAGCAAAGGATTCCCACAGAAAAACTATGCAAGCCCTCTATCCACGCAAACCTCTATCTGTGCAGCAGGGGCAGGAGGGTGCTGCCAGCCCACCTCGCTCTTGGGGCACTGGTTTTTGCAGCCCCAAAGGCTCAGGGTAGGGATGTGCTGACGGTTCCCTTTGGGGCCCTGCAGCCCCCAGGTGTGGCACAGGGGTTCCCACTCACACGGGGCTGGGTTTTGCAGCGCTGCTGCAGACAGGCAGTACACCTGGCCAGATAAGGATCAGACTGTGCTAGTGGATTAAATTAAACAGCTTTTCTTTCTGTGCCAGCATATCTAACGAGCAGTTCACCTCCCATGGGCGATTCTGCCCTCTTGAGCTGCAGTCAGAGCGTGGCAGGCCTGGCAGAGCCGGCGGCTCTGGCTTTACCATCAGCAGCTCGAGGGAGCTAATGAGGCCTGAAAGGCAACGAGACCTCTGATGATCTCATCCTGTGTTGGTGGAGAGCATTGCTCGGGCAAGGTGCACCTCCTAGAGTTGCAGTTAGTTCATGTTCAGACTTATGCTTTTTCTGTGGGGTGGTCCTAATCTCTCAAATCCAAACGTTGGGTTGAGTTTGTTGTTTCTTCCTACAGCACTAATAAGATATTGCAGCAACAGAGATCTGAGTGTCTGAAACACAGGTTGAAAGCACCCTTGATCTGGGCCCTGCTGGCAGGGCACCGGGGAGCGGCACGGCAGCATTGCTGGGAACAGCAAACTGATGCCAAAGCCCCACTCCCATCCTGCGCAGCCCCCCTGGGTCCGTTCTGCCCTTGTTCTGCTTTCTGTGCCCTCTGCTTGCCGTCTGCTTCCGCCGCTCCAGAGAGCCACCAAGGGACGGCCCCCCCAGCGCCCCGCTGCCCCGTGAGCACAGCTCACCCCCTCTCCATTGCAGGTTCACTCACCCGCTGATGCTGGGCTCCAGCATGCACACCACTGGCATCCCGCACCCCGCCATCGTGCCCCACTCTGGCAAGCAGGAGATGGAGCACTACGACCGCAACATGTGAGTTCTGCTCAGGGCTCCTGATCTGTGCTATCACTGTGGAGTCTCACTGGGTGATACCCATGAATCACTCAGTGACACCGAGTGGTTCTGACACTGACTGCTCCTTTTGTCCCTGCCAAGGAAACCTCAGCCAGAACCAAAGAGAGAGAAGGAAGCCAAGAAGCCCACTATCAAGAAGCCCCTGAATGCTTTCATGTTGTATATGAAAGAGATGCGGGCGAAGGTCATCGCTGAATGCACGCTGAAGGAGAGCGCGGCCATCAACCAGATCCTGGGAAGGAGGGTAAGGGCAGGTGCAGGTCACCAGGGTTTTGGGGACTGGGGGGACATGCAGACATCTTCGGACGTGAGGGGAGCTGGGAAGAGTTTATCTCATCGCCCTGATGGAGACCGGGATTTTGGGGGTGTTGGAGGCATTAGGCTGTGAGCAGCTGGTAGGGAGCCCCAAAAGTGGGAGAAAAGGGAAATCTTGTACCACAGCAGCAACACAGTGGCTGCAAGGTGCCCTACAAGACCTGTAGCAGCTCCAGTACAGCATCCCCATCCCCACACCTGCCCTGGGATGCTCTCCCCTCACAGCCTGCAGGCTCAGTGCTGTGCTTGTCCCCGCAGTGGCACGCGCTGTCCCGGGAGGAGCAGGCCAAGTACTACGAGCTGGCACGCAAGGAACGGCAGCTTCACATGCAGCTCTACCCCGGCTGGTCCGCGCGGGACAACTACGTGAGTGATACTGCACCTCGAGTCCCATAGATGTGACCCAGAAATAGCCCAGAAATGACCCACGGGGGGAAGAAGTGGGTGCTGGTTGTCCCTGGTAATGCTATTTTGGAGGGGATGGTTTGTATAGAAACACGTGTTTTGGCATTGGTTTGAACATCCCTTTGCCTGCTCCTTGTGGCTCATCTGTGGCACGAATGTCGTAACTGCAGCTGCCACTGTTGGCCAAGGAAACAGAAGCAGAAAAAAAAGAGAACTTCTAGGTGATGTGAGTGATGTTTGGAGAACTCCGTCTGTTGACAGGAGCATAATAATCGTGGAAAATAAGATTTAAAAATGCTAAATAGGAGAAAAGAAGCTGCTTTGCATGAGATGAGTGCTGAGCTCAGCCTGGTGGGGACTCGGTCCAACTCTGGGGCCCCTCATAGGGCTGCATCCCTGGCACTGGGGTCCCTGTGCTGTCCTGCAGGGTGACTGTCACCGAGCCACCGCCTGCCCTGCTGGGACATTGGACCCATGGGGCCACCACGACTGAGCAAACCAAGCACACCACGTTCAAAGTATTCAAATGCAGCTGTAGCAAATGCAGACAGCAGCACTGCTTGCTCCGCCGGTTTGCGAGCTGGCCCCAGCTCCTCAGAGAGGCTGATTCCCAAGTAAGAGTGCTGTTAAGGAAATGAGAAATCCACGTTCAAAAGGGGAGAAAAAGGAAAGCTCCTGCATAGGTAGAGAGGGACAGCAGATCGAGGTGCATGCTCTGCCCTTTCTCTGTGCCATGTCCCACCTAGAGATGCAGGGCTGGGCTCCCCAGTGCAGTGCTGAGAAGTCTGCTTCAAGAGAATTCATTTCCTCTTTGCTATGTTAATGGTAGAATAGCAAGGCAATAAGCGAACTTCCAGTGCTGCAGAAGCATGGGATGCAGCCTTTTCTAGTGGCTTTCTAACTGTTTTGATCTCACATGCAACAAGCCCTGCCTAACAAGCTCGTTGGAGACCTGAGGCAGGGTGCAGAGGGCTGTCGAATATCCACCTGCCGCTGGGCTCTGCTGCTCCATGCAGGGTTCCAGTGGTTCCCTCGCAGCCACATTCTTTGTCTTGGAGCTGTGCTTGGAGCTCTCCTTCAAGCACTGTTCAGAAAGCCCAAAATCCCACAAAACGTCCTCAAATAGCCAGAAATCATATTCAATAATGTCCTTGCGTAATAACTAGCAATAAGTAAATTGCTGGGAGCTCGGCTTCCACGTGCAGTTTTGCAGGGTCAGTATTGGCTGAGACCTGGATTGGCCGTGGAGAATCTGGGGCAGCACCCAAGAATGCTCCTCTGTGGGTATCCCTGGAGGGCAGCAGCAGAGCTGAGAGCCGGGCATCATTGTCCTTCAAGCCAAGTACGTCCTCCATGGAAATCCCATCCCTCCTGCTTCTCTCCTCTTGGAAAGCACCAGGTCTCCTCTCCCGGCCAGCACACACCAGGCTCAGAGCACAGCAGCTCTCCCTGCAGCGCTCGTGAGCAGCTGCTCCGGGTCGTGGTCGCTGCAGGAGCTGCTGTTCTCTCTGGAGCCCCGGCGAGGAGGAGGAGGAGGAGGAGGAATGTAGGTCACCTCCGCCGCACGTGACTCGGTTATTAGGCAGGAAATGCAGTTGCTCCCACGCCGAAGAAAGAGCTCACCGCAGTGCAGAGCTTTCCACCTTCACTCAAACCACAAGAAGTCATACAAAAAGACAGAGGGCAGAGGAGCCCTGTGAGCCACGCTCCCCACGCTGGCCAGATTTGCTCCAGCCCCTCTGTGCCCTCCTCCCTGAGATCGTCGGGGAGGAAATCCGGGGCTAGCACTGTTTTGCTGTTAGGGAGTGAAGAAAATGTGAGAACAAGAAATGAATCCACAGCTGCAGAAGGGCTGAAGTGGGGAGATGGGTTTATAAAAAAAATGGCAATAGAGGCTTGGGTATTTTTTAAAAGTGCCCAGGGATTTATAAAGCTTCCCCACGTGAGGTCGGGGTGCTCTCCTGATGAGGACTTCTGATCACAGCAAGGATCACAGTTCTGCTGCGTTGTGCTGATGTGACCTCCTGCATTGCTTCGAATGGAGCAGAAGAGCTGGGTGATGTTCAAACCAATGTCCTGCAAGGAGGAGCTGTGGTGTAACTGCATTCAGTAGGCAGGCTGCAGTGTAAATGGGGGGCTCAGCTGGGGGAGGAAAGCTGAGAAGGCAGTGATGCGGCTCCATCTCTGAGTTCCTGCAGATGTATGCATGTGAGCCCTACTGCCTGCAGTGCTGGATGTGGGGACACTCACCCTGGCGGTGGCTTCGGGACTCCCCCGGGTGCATTTCCCAGAGCTCAGACCAGCTCTGCTCAAGGCCCCCTCCATCCCCCAGCACTGGGAGCACAAACTGATGGGCTTTTCCTTGGCTTTCCTAGGGGAAAAAGAAGAGGCGGACACGGGAGAAGCAGCAGGACTCCAACTCAGGTAAATCCTGCGGTGCTGAGCCATGCAGCCCTCGGTGCTGGACACTTTTGGTGCAGAATGGATGATCCCACACAGTTGTTGTTTCACCACTCTTTGCCATGTCTCCTTTTATTCTTAACCAATGATCTGTGCATTTCATGAGACAGAAAATTAGCATTTCTGTGAGTTTTTCATAGATCAGCTTGCATTAGAACACTAGTAGTTCATGGAAACTGAAAATATGAGATACTGTCAAGTGCTTATCTGCATGTATATATTACTGCTAATTATGCAGAGCATCCAGGTGGGTGCCCCCTACAGCCTGCCCCAGGCTGTCCCTTTGCTGTCTGTGAGCAGGGACCAGCCCTGCCTGTGCTGCTGGGATTGCTGGGATGACACAGCTCAGCTCACACAGCCCCAGTAGTGGCTGTATGATGCCCTCTTTGAGCTGCCCATAAAAAGCAGTTCCAAAAATGTGTCCCAGTAATGGCTTCAGTTTAGTTAGTGCTGTTGATCGCATTCAGTGCCTAAGATGTTGAGAATGCAAGCATTTCAGTGTACATGCAGTGTGTATCTATCATATAAACATACGGCCCGTGTGTGATAGAAAAATACTGATTTCACCCTCTGTGGATGGGAATGCTGCTGCTGATGCTCAACAGCACTCACTGCTGCTGGTGCAGGCGGGAAGGTGCCCTTCTGTAGTGCTGCAGTAGGTCTGGAAAAGCAGCGTGTGCCTGAAGGCAGGGCTGCAGGGCAGAGCTGTGCAGCCGGGGCTCATCTCTGCAGTGCCACCTCCGCTTTCCTGCGCTTCTGCAACGTTTCCTCTCCTCTCTGCTGCCCACAGCCCCATTCGCTGGCACCCGGATAGGCCTTGCTGGGAGCAGGTAAGGAGCAGGCAACAGCTCTGTCGCCTGGCAGCTTTCCCAGCCTTTAGGAATGTGGAGGTGTCACAAAAAGATGTGAATTTCCTGGTAGCGTCCTGCAGCCGAGCTGGGCGCTGCTTCTCAACCCCCTTTCCCTGCTGCGATCACTGATTTCATTCATTTATTTATTTATTTCCCTAACGATCACTTTTTTTACAGGAGAAATGGTGCCACCACCATTCTGTTGCAGAAACAAAACTTGGGATTGTAGTCTGTTAGTGGTGTGTTAAGCGGCTGAAATGATGTTGCCTCTTTTCTTCCTCCTGCTCCTCCTCCTCTTTGTGCCTCTGCCTTGCCCATTCTCCGCCACGCATGCTTCTGTGTTCAGATCCTGCCTCTCCTAAGAAATGCAGAGCTCGCTTTGGCCTCAACCAACAAACGGACTGGTGCGGCCCGTGCAGGTGTGTATCACATCTCCACCTCGCGGGGTTCTCCTGGGCTGCGGGTCTGGCCCTGCTTTCTGCTCCTCCGCACACCAGGGATGCTCCTGCAGGGCTCTGTCTGAGCACCCTGGTGGCTGTTTTCCCTGAGCTGCCGTGGGCAATGTCCGTGTGGTGCCGATGAGCATCTCTGGTGTCAAAAGCTTCTTTGCAGGTCTGCCTCTGTGACCGTGGTGTGGGGCTTTCCACCCATTCACAAACACCCCTTGAGGGCTAGTTGTGAGTAGTGAAGGTCTTTGCTAATTCTCCTGAGGTTTTTCCTATTTATCCTAGAGGTAACCGTGTATGTTGAGATGCAACTTGTTGGTTTGCAGCACCCAGCATGGAGTGGGAAAACCCCAAGCAAGGAGCTGGTTTGTAAGCGTTCCACACCTTGGGTTTCTAGGGCATGACCCCAGAATCAATGTGCTTATTGCAGCTTGAAGCGGGGGAAATCATTCAGTCCACCCAAATCGAAATCCTGGAGCAAATCCCCAGCAGTTTGGGGTCACACATGGCTGATGTGGGCTGAGTGAGGACTGTGCCTCCCAGACCCAGCAGATCACAAAGCCCCACGTATGAGCAAGGAGGTTTAGCTTAGGAATCCTTAGGTTTAGGTTTCCCGTCCCTGCAAACAAGCCCAGGTCAGGCTGAGGTTCTCTGAGCACTGACAGAGCTGTGGGTTTCCCTGCTTATTGTGGGGAGGGGATCGGATAGCCTTAAAAGTCCCTTCCAACCCAGGCAATTCCAATTCTGTGACTTCATTTGAACTCTCCTCATTCAGCTTTGGCGCTAACCCTCTGCATTGCTTCCAGTTAACACAGCCTGCTGAGTTTGTAGACCTTAGCATGCTTTTTTATTTAACTTTTGCCTTTCAAATGCTACTCAGTCACATCTTTTCTGCAATTGCTTGTACTAACGGGCTGCTGCCAGTTCAAGGGCTTCTGTCCTCCCTGCAGTGGTCGCAAACACCTGTAGAGAGCAGCTCCCACCTGAGGTTCCCATTCCACAGAACAGTAACTGGTGAAAAATGGGTGTTGCAGGTTGGAGGTTTCACCCTTTCACCAGGACAAACTACAGCAGGGTGCTGTAGTTCCTAAAGGACAGGGATACATCCTTTTAGCTGTATAGGAGCCATGCAGGCTTTAGTATCAAATCTGCTGCTTCTCCATCATTTTAAATCAAATTGAATCAACGAATCGATGAATCAGCTGATAGGTTTCTGTCATCCTACAAGGAGGTCATGGAGACCCTCCGTCCTGCAGCTGCTCCTGAATTGTCTGTAGGAAGCCCAGCTCATCCTGGGGCTTGGCTGCTCTGGGAGCTGCAGCCCATGAAGCATTCCGTGTGCCTTTCAGCAGCGCTGTCGTGTTTCATACCGTGTTAATTGGGTCACCCCAGCTAACGATGCCACTGACAGCAGTAATGCCATTTCTCTTGTTCGCAGCCAGTGCAAAGTCGTGTTTAATACTGGGCTACTTAATGCATATTCCATCAGTGTGTTGTTTTTCATTAGTGAGATCAAAGAGAGGTGTGTGCCTGATCAGCCAGCTCGCCATTTGATCCATTTTCCTCAGCTGAGGCAGCCGAGGCAGGGAGCTGAGCAGAAGGAAGGGGTTTTTTGCCTGCTGTAGCTGTGCTGTTGTTATCAGTGCCTCGAGCAGGGGATTGCTCCCTCACCACTGCTGGGTGCCATCCTCAGAGCTCTGTGCTCTGGAACTTCCCTGAGCCACTGCAGAGGATGCAGAGCAGGTGATGTGAGGGGCGCTGGGAGTCACTGCCCCCGGCTGGGCGCTTCTGCGGGAAACCCCGGGCAGCAGAACCCTGCCTGCAGGGCTGTGCCAGAGCTTCCTCTCCCACGTGTGCGGGTGGCATTTTGGGCTTGTGTCTCAGCTTCTGAAGGGGCAGATCACAGCAAGCACGTCAGCCCACAGAAGCCATGGATGGCTTTCTGGATGGGTGGAGGTCAGAGGCTTTTGCTGCAAAGAAAAGCAGCCGAGCAGACAACGTGCTGCACACAAGGCTAGGGCCGGGGTAGGAAATGTGCTGCAGGTAGAAACGCTCAGAAGAGTTCGGGTCCTTCGGGTCGACGTGCTTCTCCTTAGGAAGACAGCGAACAGACGATGCGGAGCGCAGCGTGGCGGCACGGCCGCGTCCCGCAACGCGGCAGCCGGCGCAGCCAACGGCGGGATGGCGGCACGGCCGGAGCGCTGCTGCCGCCGCCGTTATGGCGCCCCCTCGCGGGCGCCGCCGCTTCACACCCACAGGCGGCCGATCTCCGCGCTGCGGCTCCGCGCCGTTCCGCTCCTCGCCCCCCCCGCGCTCTGCTCGGCGTTTTGTGTGTGACCGTAAACTCACCCTTCATTTACAGATAACTCTCTTCACTGTTCATAGGAGGAAAAAGAAGTGCATTCGGTACTTACAAGGAGAAGGACGCTGTGCCAGCCCAGTTTCTTCCGATGGAAGTGCTATAGACTCCCCTCCCTCCCCCCTGGATGCACTCCAATGCATATCCTCTGCTTTCCCTTCAGACAAGCTTGCAGCCCCCGCAGACTCCACACACAGAGAACGCACCGACCCCCTCCCGGTCTCTGCTCCCATCACAGCTGCTGCCTGCTCCTCCAGACCCAGCACCAGGTGCTCTCCTGCGCCCGCAGAGCCCTCAGCCTGCGGCGTGGCTTCCACGGGGACGTAGTCCCACCCCTCCCGTGTTTGCTGAGACACTGTGGGCACTTTGCTCTCCCACTGAAAAGGACCGGAGGCCCGGCCCAATTCCCCTGCAGTTAGGCAACAGAACGATTGGAGGATGCTGGAAAACATTTGACCCTTTGGGGGGAGGATGGTGGTTAAAGATAGCAAAGTGATTTTTAAAAAGGTTAAGGAAAAAAAAAAAAAACACAACAAAACTTGCCAAAATTTGAAGTCTGATGAGTAAATAAGCCTTTTGTCCCTGCCCTGTGCTGCTTTCTTGTTTGTTGGGGGCTTTTCTTTTTTTTACTGCGTTATCTGTGAGTGTGGCAGAAAGCAAAGAGAGATCCCCAGCTTGCTGCAGTAGGTGGTAGGTGCTCTAAATTTGACACTGGCTTCCGTGTCCTGCCTTCTGAGCTGCTTTAGACTGTAGTCCTCCTGTAGCTGTTATACCACAGGGCTGGAAAAGCTGGAATAGGAGCCTTTTGTAAAAGCCCTTGTGTCTGAAAATGAAATGTAGCGATGCTAGCTTTCCGATCCGACTGGATGATAGGGAAATATTTAAACTAATGAGATGTATTTTTTAAACTTCTTGTTTGAGAACAGGAAGGCACTGTTTACAGGTAATAGTCTCTGTGCAGACACGTTGAATCCCATCAGTGTGTGGCAGGGCAGAGCGTTGCTCCCCACGTCAGCCCGGCGCAGGGTCTCCCTGCTGTTTTGCTTTGGGTGCTGCAGATTCAGACAGCAGGAATTGCCCTGCAGTGGGCTGGGAGAGCCTCAGAAAGCCTCCCCTTAACTCAGCACACACGAGGAGCGCGTAGGGCAAGCACACAGCCTGACTGAGGCACTCAGGAGCACGGCGCTCCATCTCAGGAGCCAGGCTGAGGCCGGGCTGCAGGAAGGAGCTGAGCCCCGCGCTCCGCTGTGCAGCCCGGAGCAGCAGCGCCCTCCCTGCCCCCTGCTCACAGGCTCTGCTTACCTCTGCAACATCAAAAACGTTTCTTGCCGATTTGGTGTGTAACTTTTTAAAGAAGTCGCCTGAGCTTTTTCTAACAGATCTCCCTCACCCCTCGCAACGAGGCCAAACGTGCAGGCATTCTCTGCAGCCTGAGAATATTTACCAGGTTCTGGTGTCTTGTGATTTGTGGACAGATCCTGATCCCCATAAGCTGACGTAAATCCCAACTGAACCAAATGCATTGATTTGCTCTATGTTTACACACTTGGCACACAGACCAGAGCCCGGTCCGGTGTGTATTTTTTCCTGCTTGAAAGAAATGTATTTTAGACTGCTGAAGAGAAAAAGAACACCAGGCTGAGGGGGAGAGGGGTCTATTTTTTTCTACTTTACAGAATAGGTTTTAGAGTACTGACTACAAATTACATAGTAATATTATTGTAGAACTGCAAGAAATTTAAGATGACCTTTATAATGTAAAAAAATATTTTTATATTTTTTTTTTCTTAAAACGAAAACCCGGATTTTTTTACATTGGACTCAACTTTTTAAAACAAGTTTATGCATCAAAGATTGAAAATTAAAAAAAGAAAAAAAAGACCACTGATTAGTCTATAGAGCATCTCTGGGTTTATTCTCCTAATTTAGGTACTTTTGCTTATAGTAGCGTAGGCCTTTGACTCGTTTTAGTTTAGAAGACCCAAACTTACTGCTTTATTCCTCTTCTGTGTAAATGTAACTTGAGAAGCACTGACTGGAAGCGACGTGCACAGAGCTGTGCGAACCCTCAGAGAAGCAGCATCACCTGCAGTGCCCGCCAGCTGCACACGCTGCACTCAGGGTTCGCGATGCAGCCCTTGCTCACACACCATCCGCTCGTCTTTAAGTTATTTCAGCAAGCACAGCAACTCAGCCAGCCATTCCCAGACCTGGCACAGACTCTTCTGACCAGCCATTATAAATATAAACCTTAAAGAAAGCTTTGTCTCAGCTCGCCGTCCTTCACTGATCTGATCACCCTCTGCCGTAAGGCCAAGTGACAACTGCTGTAACAGCCTCAGCTGACAAAGGGCCGCGCTGCGCCCAGCAGTGGGCAGAACTGGGTGTAAAGCTGGCACAACGTAATACCTGGTTGGTGTTCATGGTTGGATGAAATGTGGCTTAGCAGCAAAGATGGGTATAAAGAAAAACCAGGCGCCTCTAAGTAACACCAGAGGAAATCTAAGGGAAAGTCCTGACCAGCAATAAACTGCGTGTTGTGACCAAGGACCGAGTAGCACTAAGCAGCCCTCATTCATTTCAGGCTCGTTAGGACTTCTTTCCTCTATTTCAAGGCTGCTCACAGCCCCCCATGGTGCCTGCGCCTCGCTCAGGGCACGATGACAGGAAAAGGCCCACCTGTGTCACAGCCTCCTCTCACCACGGCCGTTCATCTGGTCCTGCAGTCTTGGTGACACCTGCCTTCCCTCCTGCAGAGCCTTCCCTCGTGCGTCCGTGCAGCGGTGGGCGCTCGTGCAGCACACAGCACAGCTCACAGCTCACAGCACACAGCTCACAGCACACAGCACACAGCACACAGCACACAGCACACAGCACACAGCACACAGCACAGCTCACAGCTCACAGCACACAGCACACAGCACACAGCTCACAGCACAGCACACAGCACAGCTCACAGCACACAGCACACAGCACACAGCACACAGCACAGCTCACAGCTCACAGCACACAGCACACAGCACACAGCTCACAGCACAGCACACAGCACACAGCTCACAGCACACAGCACACAGCACACAGCTCACAGCACAGCACACAGCACACAGCTCACAGCACAGCACACAGCACACAGCTCACAGCACACAGCACACAGCACACAGCTCACAGCACACAGCTCACAGCACACAGCACACAGCACACAGCTCACAGCACACAGCACACAGCTCACAGCACACAGCACACAGCTCACAGCACACAGCACAGCTCACAGCACACGGCTCACAGCACACAGCACACAGCACACAGCTCACACCTTCTGACTGAAGCTCCTGAACAGCTCTCACACCAACACAGCATGGTTTTGCCTTTGCTGTTACCTGAATGCTTATATGGCACAACAGAGGAAACTTCTTCCTTTCCCCAAAACACGCAGGAGAGCTCGGAGCTGCCCACTGCTGAGACAAAGCAGCGAGCTGAACTGATGGCTGCCCTATGGTTACCAATGCCAAAACAGAGTTACTTTTATTAATGCCAAAAGAAATCTTCAAAATGCCATATGAAGTGTTGTTATTTCGTGTCAATGTGCTTTTTTAACAGAAGGAAAACATCGCCCTCAAGTTTTTAATCCCCAAAAGATTTTTTTTTTTCAGTTTTTACAGCAATTTCAACTTCTCTTGAAATACACATTTGAATTCCTGAAACCAGTTTGAACGTAGAAGTCATGGAAACACCACTTCATTAAACCAAGTACAACCACTGTATGTATGTAGCAGGGATAAATGTTTTGCAGCTGTACTTTCATTTGTCCAATGATTATCCATCATTTGTTGTAATTTTTTTTACTTCACCAAGTTTGTATTTTTTGGCTTTTACGTTCAAAATATGTTTATAGCTTTATAAATAAAGTAATGGCCAGTCTGGCTGTTCAAAATAGGCCACTGGGAATTATAATCCTATCAAAGTGTCAATTAATTCTTCCTTAGAACTGAAGTTTTTTCGTACTTTTATGTTCAAGCATTTCAGCATAATTTCCAGCAGCCTTCGATAGTAAGGCTGCAACCGTGAGCCAGAAAGAGCACTTCTGCCACATGAGCCCATCTCTGCTGCCGATTCCTCCTTCCCCACTGTGCCCCCATTTCATCACTTCAGCCGAGAGCAGCTCTCCCTGATCAGGCCACAACCTGGGAAAGAAGTGATTATGCAGCACCAGGCCAGTTCATGATTAACATCAAGTTGAGCAATGGAAACAGCGCAGTGCCTGCATCCCAGGTGCTGGTGTTACACGGCTGCCTGCTGACACAGGAGACACAGCAGGCTCAGCTGAAGAGGAAAAGCCACGCAGCAGCTGCTCTGCACCCACAGCACCCTTGTGCAGAAGGTCCCTCTCGACAGCTTGTGCCAGCAGATGCACACAGGTGCTTTCTTGCACCGCCATACACATCAGGTACTGGGACAAAGCCTGAGCCAGCACTACAGGGAATTTCAGCCAGAGGAGGCAAGTTGTATGGATTCCTAACGAACAAGGCCACTAACATCAAAATCTGCCACAACGCCATCATGCTCTGAGCACGCAGCCAGCCCTTTTGCACAGAGCCATACTGCCACAGCAGCATCAGCTTTGGGCAAACTACTCATGCCAGCAGCCAACTGGCACGATTCCGGAGCAGAAGCCAGAGGCATTTAGTTCACCACTGAAGCATTTGACCACAAAGGGTTATTTCTTAGGCAAGCTGTTTTAAGAATTAGCAATTCTTGCCACAGGTGCTTTATGCAAACAGTAGAAGCAAGGCTACAAGGAAGACAAGCTAAACTGCCTCTGTCTGTTCCTCACCTACAGCCCAGGGAGGCACCACGTGAGGCAGCAGCTGCTGCTGACCAGCACCTCAAGGAAGCAGCTGGAGGCTTCTGCCATTGAGCACAACTGCAGCTTCTGTATTGGAATGGTCACTTCGAGATGAAACCAGGATTAACCTGAAGAGATGGATTTATTTCTTGTAGGAACGCAGGGCGAGCTGAACACTGAACTACAAGAACTGTTATCAGCAGCTTTTCACTAGGGGCACTTTAACAGAGTTGTACTGTTTACAATACAGGATGCTTGGCAGGCTTGGAACGTCCCAGTCTGTAACACTGCAGCATTTTGTGCCCGCTGACAATGCTATCAGCAGCACAAGGGCAGCCCAGCAGCCTTATGAATAAGCATCTGTGACCAGCAACTGCCTCCAAAGCACAGATCTGAGTGCTGCTTTAGAACGAGTTATGAATGCTCTCATTAATGGTTACATGAAAGCAACATTACCTCAAAGCTGGTAAGCCTTCAAAAAAAATCCATCTGGATTTAGCTTCAGACTTCACCTGAGGAGCTGCTGACTGTGACTGGCCAGCAGCTTGCACTCTGATCGTTTACAACAGACACAGATTTCACTCCAGTTAAGCATCCCTCGGTGCTATGGCTCACACACTCAGTAAGGAGGGCAGGCTGTCCACTTACAGGCCATTAGAACCGTTTGTAAATAGAAGTTTAAAAGCCCTTTATTAACTCAGAAGTGAAACACTGATGTTTAAAGTGAGATAAGTATGTTTATTAAGGTTCATTCTACTCTAAGATTTATACAGAGAATGGAATGCAATACAAGCTAAGAGCACACCTCAGATCTACCACAAAACCACCCCCTACTCCCTATAAGGGAACTGTAAAAAAAAAATTAAAATAAAAATCAGGAAACCAGTTACTGTTTAACTAGTTGCAAGTGGCTTTGTCCAAAGAAGTCAAGCTCAATATTGCATTAGCTTTGTATGCAATAAGAAGTCTCTACAAGCAGAAGTTTCACATACATAGGCAAAAAGATCTCCCGTGGATACATGAAATCCATGTTTTAAAGAGCTACATCACAAGGGTAGTTTAAAATTGCCTAAAAAACAGCCACTAATGGCATGCACAGGTCAAGAATAGTAACTTTGGTAATGTCAGTCGTTTTTGGTCAAACCTGGGTTCCACTTTTGCCAAAAAAAAGTATAAAAACACACCTGTCCTGTGCAGAAAGCAGCACACGTCCCACCTGCTGGCAGCCAGAGGCACGGCTTCAGGACATGGCAGAACTCTGCCAAGTTTGCTGTCTGAAGCTTGCTAAGCCCTGGCTCACATCTTCACTACTCACTGGCCTATCAGGCAGGGCCAACAGGACAAGGAAGTGGACAGATTTTTTTTTAATGCAGAACAAGAACCTTCCCTAGAGTTGTACAGCTGTAATAACACCAATTTTTCCAAATGTCTCTGTAAGAAATCCAACAATTTTTTTTTATTTTTTTTTTTTAAACTTCATGTAGCTCCCCAAGACACATTTGATTTTCCTTTCTGAAGCCATCAATACCCTGTAAATAAGTGTTTTGTTCTTCCTGAGGAAGAAAGCAAAGGTGGTTTTATTTACAATGGTGGAGTCAACACTTAAGATTGTAACTGGACTGGGAACAGATAAAAAAGTATAACGAAAACGACAACCTTAAGTGCTACTTTCCATTCAGGATCCACACTTGGTTCAGCTTTATTCATTGCAGAGTAAAGTAAAAAGACACCCCATTACACTAGTAAAAACGCAGATTTAAATTTATCCTCAAAAAAAACCAACACTACACATGCAAAGGGAACAATATCTTGCTAACACAACTTCATTTGCTGCTGCATTTGTCTAATATTAACAATTATGAACAGAGCAGTGCAACTAGTATTCGGAACAATCCTTACAGTGTTCGAGTGTCAGGCACAGCTTCACTTCTCTTCACACCACTGGTTCTCCTTACGTACCTGGAAGAACAACGTAACTGGTAACAATGCAGTAAGCTTCCACAGCTCAGGGGGAAGCAAACTCCTACAGGCATTCGAGTTTACTTACTGTAGAAAGGCACAGCATCATGAAATTATGAAGCATCACATGTTAATGCAGCAGAAAAGCAGCCACATTATAATTAAACCCAGATGGAGTACCTGTGCTTCTTCCTCTTCAGTGAAGTCATTCTTAATATTGAATGTCTTGCGAATTTCTTCTGGAGTTTTCCCCTTGATCATGTTGGCAACTGTCTTGCATGTGACATCAAGCAAACCTTTGATGTCCAAGTAATTTGCAGCCTGTAAAACAGTTTCCAAATTTAAAGCTTCCAGATCAATGTTCTGCCTCTGCAGATGGACCACTACAGTTCTGCTCCCAGCACTGCAGAATGCTGTCACCACTAAGAGCCAAATCGCTCTGAGAAGCTTCCAGCCCTGAATTAACAACTAAAGTTCACCTGCCAAACTGGAGTCATTTCTACCATGAAAGCCCCGTCTCCTTTACACAAGGCTTTCAGAACCTCGCACACACCTCTGAGATGTTGAATACTTGAGTGCTGTTAGCTCGCTAAGACAGGAGCCACGAGGTAGATTAAGACAGTAATTAGCTTTTTTATAAACGTGTCTTTATGCAGGTCTCTAAAACACCACTTAAAGCAATAAGCCATCAGCCGAGACTCGAAAGTGAAAAGGGGCCACAACTACAGACAAGTACAGGAACTGACAGATGAGCAAGCATTAATTAGTGCCTAGCACGATATTAACAAGCATCTGCCATTCACCAGTTTCAGCCAACTAGTTGCCCTCCCCACGTTTCCTACATTAAGAAGTTCTTCAAGAAGCATCAAGACTTGCTGGTAAAACAAACAGAGGTCACTGTGCAGGCCCAGCCTTTATGCTTCCACAACATAAACTTACCAGGATGAGCTCAAAAAGTGTTCCTTGGTCTACTTTCAGAAATTCTTGATCCCACACAGGGATGTCATCCGTTCTTTTCTCCTTGTTCTCATCATCCTCGGGAGGAGGTGGATCATCTTTGTGATGGGTGCACCACTGAATCACCTAATTACAGTTTTGATAATACACTTTTACCCAAGTGACTTTCCCATTAGGCCCCAACTCTAACATTACTTTGTTTTAGGAGCACTGTGCTTTTCCTTCTGGACTGATATCAGAACCACCTGTTCATGTTTCATCATCTTATATTTTCCTCTTAGAAGAACTAATCCCCAATCCTGGAACCCAACAGTCTTCACGAAGCTCAACTGAGACAGCAGCCAGTCAATTAAATACTCTGGATTCTGAAGAGCAGCTCCTAGCAGTCAAAGCAAACAATAAATCCTGTGCTAACACACACAGGACCATACAGAAGTAACACAGGCCTCCTTTTGAGGAGCTGGAACACTCGCTGGCTGTGACTCTCATTGCTGCCTGCCCTTTAACCTTTCTCCTTACATTCTGAACTCATTAAGAGCCACCTCAGCTCACACAACCCAGTTACAATCAGTGCTTTAAAACCACGAGATCCTAGTGAGCACAGATGTCCAGCACCAGCCCTATGCCTTAGGAGCCCTGCCAGCCTCCACCTGCCATTCCAGAAGGTCATTCGTGTAGCTCTTTAACCAAGAACCCGGTTCTGAGACCAACTGTGCTCACACACCTCATGACGGTGCTACACTTGTAGCCAACACTTGGGAAATATTTTCAATAGCAATACTTAACTGCAGCATTGATTTCCCATCTCATCACTGATACACAACACCATCACTTCCCAGGGCCTTACCTTTTTTAAAATAGCTGCGTTGACGTTTGGAAGAGGGACTGGGTCATCATCGCCTTCATCATCCATTCCCAAGTCTACAAATGGAAAGATGACCTGCAGCCAGCAGCCTAAAGCTTTGTTCTCCAGCCTGGGCTGCTTCATCAGTTCTCCACTATTCTAACAATACTGAGCTGAACAGACAAACAGCAAACGATGTCAAAGCGAAGGCAGAAACTTGAGGGTGGTTTTGCAGAGCACAGCTGCGTTACACCAGCTGGGCTCCACTGACTGGAGCTGAGCAGCTGAACAGTGCTGCCTCCACACAGATGCTGACATGTTTGAGCACAAACAACCCGCTACGGCAGTTACTTGTCCCAGCAGGAGGTGACAGTTCCATGTTCTGGGAACAGAATGCTTAAGAAGATTTATGAATGTTCACCACTTCCAATCCGCAAGTTAAACCTCATTGTTTCAACCAAGGTCTGCCATTCTTTTATCAAATAAGAACTCAGACCTAACGTGGCGAGTACAGACGTTTTGTCTTGCACAGGAGCAGTAAATACTGAAGCTGTTGTATTTAGACAGGTCCACTGCTGTCATTGGTGGGATATCAATTAGTGCTACCTTTTGTCCAGAACATCTGATTTCGTAGATTCTGAAACCAAAATACTGACATGGAAGTCAGTAAAGAAGTCTTTTTGCATATGTTACCAATTACTGGAAACCCCAAATGCATCCTTTGAAGATACCAACAGATATTGGTGTAAGACATCACCAGACAGTCTATACTAAGTTGCTGGCACAGGGAAGTAACTCAAGAAGTACCCCATCGTCAGCCAGCTCTGCTCAGCTCATCCCCACCCCTCCTAAACTGGAGTTTCATCTCTCATCAGAAAATCAGTGCTGCATTGGTGAGGCCTGATGCAACTTCACTTTTTACCTCCTCCCCTTCACTGACATCAAACAAAGCAGCAGGTATTAACTGATGGTGCTTAAACATCTGTACAGCAGAATGGCTTTTCTCTATGCTGCTTAGCAGACTGGAGCTTACAGTACCTTCAGCACAGGCATTCTCATCAATACCTGTTTGTCACCAAACGCTGCCAGTGACACAGCCTGCGTGTGAGAAAATGGAGAGGAATTACATTCCCACTGATTGCCAGTTTCCTGCTCACTCTGCCCATCGTGTTTGAAAGCATCTCATTACCAGAACTGGAGTGGTCCAATGGTTGGTGTATTTCAACCTTATTTCTGTTACTGTTCTTACGTCTGAGGAGTCACAACCAAAGATACACAGCCAAGGACTTCATTTTAACTAGATCTACAAGAAGATACTTTCTAATATGCCCAAACTTGTGAATATGCTCAAAAACTGGAAAGAAAACAGTAAACAATGAGGATTTGCACCAGACAGATTAGACACAGTTTGCTCTGTATCTCAGCCATCTGGCAACTCCCCTCCCCCACCACGAGCTCTTTTGTTTCAAATTCATGTCAGCAAGAGATCAGAACCAACTATTTATCAAATAATTTCACTGCATAGATGCAGATCTCCCTCCAACTCTTCATTCATTGCATTAATTCATGTTTCCCTTCTCCATTTAAGACAGAGAGCAACAACGACTTGCACGATTAAAAGAAAAGCTCAGCTTAACATAAACTAGAAGCGTTTATTAAACTTCACTTTGCCTAACTTTTACAGAGCTGAAGGAAGCCGTAGGCAAAGCAGTGGGGGATTTACATTTTGCCAGCCTGCTGGGAACTGCATTTAAGAAGAGGGCTGCAGTTCAAGGTTTGAGAGAAAATGTTTATCCCAAACAACACTCAAGCCTTGCTGGCAATTGTTCCAGCTGCTCCAACAGGAGACAGCAAGCCAGGCCCAGGCCTCTGCTCAGCACCAGCTCGCCCCCTTGGTCACAGATGCTGCCCACGCGCCGCTCCCTCAGCTCCCATTCTTACCTTCCAGCATCGTCTTTATGGTCACGGACTGTTTTGCAATTTCAACATCGACTTCAAAAATCTCTCCATCTGAACTCTGCAGCTTAATTGAAGGCATCTATAGGAGAAGGACAGTTATTTTCACACAGTATTCATCAGATCTCACAAGTTCAGCTGATTCAAATACGTAGCTCCCTTCACTATTTGTACTGCCCCTGAACAGCCCCGTGTCACCTGCGGCACACTTCAATTATTTGCTGCTTGAATCAACAGTCCTAAGGTCACTAATCCTGATGCTTAAGAAGGATTGATACAAATACACCAACCAATCATTTAAAATAGAAGGAACCTGGATTTTTTTCCTTAAGTTGAAAGCGAAATAGAATAGACAAAAGCACTACTTACTGATGGATTGATTTGTCTTTACGTACAGCACTGCACTACAGCTATCTTTCTCTTGAAACAGCCCCTCAACAATTCCAAAACGCTGCTTGTCTTCAAACCCAACCACTGCTCATTTTAACCATTCACTGAGGGCAAATCCCAAAAGCAGTTTCTAAATGATGGTGCCTGGACCAGAACAACAAAAGAGGAGTCAGAAGGAACCTCCAGATGTGCTCCAGTCCGACTCCCCCGACCCCAAACAGAGCCAAACAAACCAGACTATCCAGGATCAAACGCTTCCTTCAGAAAGTGCTCTGCATTCTGAAGAGCCTGAGAAAGCAATCCAGCCCTAAGTGGAACACTATCAGCACTTAGCACTGCTCTCACAGAGTAGGAAGTTACATCAGCACTTCGTTATATTAGGAAAAGGTAGGATGACTCAGTATTTTCACCAAGTTTCTCAGATGCTGATAAGGCCTGCAGTGCAAGCGGCAGACTTGGAAAATTTCACTAATAAATAACATTTACAAAACAACACCTTCTCATACACATAACTCAGAGCCAGGAGTCATGAAATGATACAGCAGCTACCAGGTCAGAGCTTCCGTCTGAAGCTGTGCTGGAGCTCTGCAGAGATACTAAAATGAAGGGACCTGAAAGACACAACAAACCTGACTGCAAAAACCTGTTAATCAGTGCTTAAACTCGTGGGATGCACTCCTTTACCATTCAAACATTCATTTGCAGCAGACCAGCTCAACACTATTTTTCCTCAATACAACAGCTTGAAAATACCTACAGCACATAACTGCAAGTGCAGCCTGCAAGTTGTTTTAGAGGAAAACCCCAGAGATGATGAATTTCAAATTCATTTAATTTCAAATTCACTTCAATCCCTTTCCAGACATTCTTCCCCAGCCAAGTTTACCACCTAAGCATGCTGACTCCCTGCACTCGTACCTGAAATACCCAAACTGGATCACCTGAACCACCTGAAGCAGAAATACATTATCCTTTTTCAAACACCTCCTATAGCTCATCAGTATGGCCGAGCCTGACAGCACTGCAACAAACCGAGGCCAATGAAGGCCAGCCAGAGTACACTATTAAGCAGCTCACAGCAGCCCCACGTCCTCACTGCTTTAATTTCCATTTGGCAGAGCGAGTAGCTAGTTAATGTTCACACAGCAGTGTAATCCTATATGACAGTGCTGCTCCTAATTAGGACTGGAGTTCTGGAAGGACACAGCCATGGCCACTCTCAAGATATACACGTATATGTGAGCACCCACAAAAATCAAGTGAGGGTTAAAGCACAACCCCACGCCGTAGCTTGGACACGCTCTGAAAGAGGGGGAAGGGAAAGAACATCAAGGCACGCGTGTTGCGTGCCGGGCTGGAAGCACTCAGCACAAGCCCAGCTCCACGCAGCAGCTCCCAGCCCCCTGCCCGTGCCTGGCGTTACGTAACGCTGCTCAGCGCAGCCGGGATGCAGAACACTGCCTGCCTCGGGGCCGCTGCACCGCCCGCACTGCTTCCACCACGGCCTGCCCTGCTCGGGAGGAGCCTTCATCAGCCGAAGCCAAAGCAGCTCAGCTGTTATCAGCGATAAAGCGGCGCATCGCGTACACAAATGTCGCCGTTTGTTACGTTTTAGCCCCTTCTGGTGTAATAGAGCTCCGCACGCCGACAGGCCCAGGGAGCGGCACCGCTGTGACCGAATGGACCCGAAACCCCCCGGATCACCGGCCGGGGTGGAGGAGGGGCCGCTGGGCGCCCAGTCCCGCCCACAGCAGCGCCGCGCGGAGCCACCGTGCCCGCAGCGCCGCCAGGTGAGCGGGAAGGAGCGCCGGGAGGAGCCCCGCCTTGTTTACAGCGCGGCGCTTCCCTCGCCGCCCTTCTCACTCCCCCCGCAGCACCGCGAACTCCCGGCCCGGCCCTCTCCCCCTTCAGCCGCCCCGGGGTCTCGCCGCCGCCCTCCGCCCGCCCCCAGCCGGCCCCGCAGCCCCGCGGCCCGGTCCCACGGCTCAGCCCGCCCGGGGCCGCCTCAGACGCCGTTTCCCGCTCGGCCTCGACGCCTCCCGTCCGCGGAGGCCTCACCGTGAGGCGCGGGCGACGCCCAGCAGCTGCTGACGGCTCCCGATAGTGGCAGCGCTCGGAGCTCGACTGCGGCGGCGGCTTTGTGGGGGGGAGGGGCGCGGGGGGAGGGGCGGAGGACCCCGCCTCTCGCTGCCTCGCAGCCGGGCTGCCCGCCGAGAGCGCCTGATCGAAGCACTCCGCTTCTCGCTCCCGAGCCGCGCCGAGAGCGAGCGTAGTATGAAAAGCCCCGTATAGCACACACCGGGAAAGGGAAGGAGGGAAACGGAGCGGCGGCGCGGCAGGGAGATCCGCGGAAGCCGTCGATTTTAGTCAGGCAGTGACGGGGTCATACGGCACGCCTCACAGTGGGCGGGGGAGCGGCGCGCGGGAACAACGGCTGCGGCGCCCCCATGCGGCGGGGCGGCGCTGAGCGCCTGCGTCTGCCGGGCCGCGTTGGGCTGCGGTGATCAGAGCGTGGTGAGGACGCGGTGTGCGTGACTTGTAGGCGGTTATTTGTCCGCCGGCAGCCGGTTGCTTCGCTCGGAATCCTGTTCGTGGTTTTAGCAAAGCAGCGCGGCTCCACGCGCCGATAAGCGACCTGCCGAGCGCAGCTGGGGCTTCCCCTCTCCTCAGGTATTTCTTAGTTCTGCGCCCAGCGACAGCCGCTGAGACAACGGGCCTCGAGGCGTTCAGCAGGCAGCAGGCTGGGCAGGGAGAGGGAAGGCTGAGGGATTGCTGGCTGCAGGCAGCGTGCCGCCAGCCACACAGCGCAGGTCAGCATGAAGTTGGTCACGTCCTGAAATGAGGCTCTCTAAAAACTCCAGAGCGCCGGTGGAGGTGGACGCCTGTCTTAAGAACCGCATTGCTCGGCGTCGGGGCGCTCAGCAGCTCGTTCGGGACTCAGAAACTGATGTAGAGGGGACTTAACCCTGCTCAAATTATTGTCAGTTGAGCCTTCCGGTCTGTGCGTGGGACACCCAGCTGCGCAGCCCTTCACAGCAGGTGAGTGCTCAGCTGGAGGTGGCAGTGCTGCTTACACACAGCACATCACCATTAACGTGGGCCTCAGGCGTCCTGCTGGTAGTAACCAGGTAAGCTGTTGTCTGAAATTCGTTAGGACCTAATTATCCTGTGTATATAATACGGATTTATATATACAGGGGCTTTACACACACATACATACCCCAACTATGCCTCAGCACATTTACCTCCTTCCTCTAAAATCCCTTCATCTCATGGCTTCACTGTGGAAAAAAAAAAAAAAGACTTTTGCTGCATTAAAATAAACAACAGTACCTTTTTTTTCTTTAAATGTGCTTTTAAAATTATTTAATGCTCCTTGATTAGAGGATCAGATGGTGACAGAAAGCAGCCTACAGAAAATGACTGCAAGTCCTAAGCTCTTTTTCCTGACGCTGCCCAAGATCGAGGTTTCTAGTCAGTAAGCACAAGTTCTCTCAGCCTGCAAATCAAAGTCAGTGGAAGGGTTTGCTCTCCGCACAAAGCAAATTAATAAAATCTAGAAACAGGCAGACAACAAAATTCCATGTCTAAACAGGATCTGTGCTTGGTGTATAATTCAAAGGGATTAAGCATTACACTTGATAGGAGTCACTGAAGGTGCCAAAGAGAAAACTGAGTTTGCAGTGGACTTTGAATTTATCTGTTGAATTAGAAGGTCTGAGAAGGCTGAAGCAACAAAAACACCCAGCTAGGAAGTGGCAGACAACTGTCACAGATAGGCTGTAATCACATGAAGGCCACCTCCCTGTGCCCTACATATCGTGTAGGGAATCTCTCAAAGCTAGTCTGAATGCTTTTTGCTGTCTTTGTCATGGTCAAAGTCCTGCAAGTCAGTGTTTGCACCACAGGAGACTCATCCTTCACTAAAGCTGCGAAGCAAAGAGCAAGATTTAAATAAATAAATAACTACCAATCTCAATTGTTACATGCACAGGTAATCATTCCAATGCAAATAATCCTAAGCCTCAGCATCACCATCCTGAGTTGACAAGGCAATTGTACTAGGTATCAGTCACAGATAAATTACAATTAAGGACCTTTTACTACTGAGAATTTTGAAGAAGGGGGAAGATTAACACTATAGCAAATATGTGAAATGATTGGAGCAACCAAGATCAGCATAAGCTTAATTTAACACTTATCAGATCCAGAAGAGATCTGACCTACATTCTTGCAGCATCACTGGGCTGTGGGCAGAAGCCAGCTGAGCAGCTGCGCAGCCGTAGGGGGAAGGGAGATCTGACACTGAACATGGCGTTAGCAACAGAGCAGCCTCCTGGACACAGCACTGGATTAGTCCAGAACCTTGGACTGTTTGCAGCTATTCCTCTTGGCTGTTTAGCTAAAAACAAACACATTCTCTTATCTATGTCCCCTTCCCCCCAAAAAAAATCCTAACTACTTCACACTGCACTTTTATAGACAGAAATGCTCTTTGTTAGCAGTGACTGCGATTTAGAGATTATGGAGATAACCTGATGTAAAAAGATGAGTACTTTCTTAATACAAGTGTTACATGGGATTATCAAAGCCTAGAGAGAACCAGGATTGAAAGACCTCAGCTCTGCTCCACCAAACACAGGACTCAGTCTGCATTTACTGACCACAGGGAAGGTGAGCCTGCAAGGACTGAAGCTCAGGAGACCACAGCTGTAGCAGAGCCTGGTGTCACTGCTGGGAAGCAAGGTGTGACCGCTGAGCCTGGACAAGAAGCTGGTGTGTATGCACAGGCTGTCAGATTCACAGGAGTCTGTTTTATTCTTCAAGGAATGCAGAAGGTAGGGAACATTTTTGAGAGCAAGCAAGCACTTTTTTTTTTGTCTGATACAGATGCTGGGAAAATACTGCTGAGCTCCTTCTGCTTGTGCCAGTGTTATTTAAAGCAACGTTGCAACAACGCAGCAGAAAAGAAAGAAAATCCTTGTCTCCACTAAATTCCAGAAAAATTGTGTCTCCACTTCATCAAAACCTGTGAAACAGAAACATCCTCAGACGTTGCTTTCTGTGCAAGTTGTGCCCCAGGAAAGCAGGGCAGTGAGTAGGCACTGAGGGAAGCAGAGCCTGCAGTTGAGATGATGTAACAGCAGTAGGCGGATGAAACTCAACCAAATTGTCTCAGGCAATATCAACTGATTTTTTAATTTATCAGCTCCTGTTTCTCCCTCAGATGACATTTATGTGCTCTCCTTGCCTAACTGTGAGGATTTGAGACAGCATAAAAGATTAAAGATGAGGGGAAAGTTATTCAAAAGAAAGGCAAACATACCTCAAGCATATTTGCTGCTTTTCCTAACCTCATCTGCAGTCTAACTCCATGCACATACTGGGGTTTGTACCATTTTTGCTCTAGTGTCCACAGGAATAACTTGGACCACTCAAATCCTGCAGTCCCTGTTTCTACATAGGGAGGGAGATGCTGCTGGGTGGCAGCTCCCCCACTTCCAGCACGGTTAGCAGAAGGGTTCCTAATGCCACATGGCACACAGTGGGGCCATGCTGCACTTGCTGGTTTGTAAGGAATGCGTGGCTGCCAGAGCAAGAACAGAACAGGAGTGACTTACTGTAACTGGCCTTCAGAACAGCTTCCAGCAGCTATTTCCAATTTGTGAAGACCTCTGAGCAGTGACAGTGATATTTCAGTAGACTGATTTGACTTCACAGGGTTTTTCTTTACCGTGTGGGTGATGAAGCATGGACATGGGTACCCAGACAGGTGCTGGGGTCTCCATGGAGACCTGCAAACACACCAGGACACAGTGCCAGGCAGCGGCTCTGGTGGAGCAGCAGGTGCCAGAGGTATCCAGAGGTGCCC